AATTATCAGGTTTCTCACTGGGGCTAATCAAACACATTCTTATAACGGCATACTGGAACTGCATACCAACAACTGTAACGCACACCACTCACTGAGCTTTTGAGGCTAACACTATGCTGGAATCCCCTCATGCTAGTGCACATACTCTGAAGAATATGGAGTATTTTAAGGACTGAAATGTGTACTTTCTCAAAAAAGCAGCAGCTGTGGCAGGATCGGAAGGAATAGGATGTTACCCCCTTTTTTGTTTAAATAAGCAACTGATATGATTTTTGTCTTTTATTCTGGAAATAATGTCCTCAGATAATAAATGTTAAATGGAAGTTAAAATGAAAAGCAAATTGAATTGGTTAGATAGAACCAAACAAGTTCACAGAAATAAAACATTTATACTATGAATGTATTTCAAGGTGGATCTTTAAAAATCACATTTCTGAGTTCCAAAGGAATGACAAGTCTTTTTTAAGAGTTACAGATGCTCTGAAACTCTTAAAGAAAAAGCTGTTTTTCTTTTTGCTAATAAATACAATATTGTCATTTATTATTTTTAAAAATCCTAACCCCATCTTGTTTTTCCTAATTATTCTCTATTTCCATTTATCTACTTAAGGTAGCTTAACACGAGCGGCTAATTACATGGCCAGGCCACAGGGGTCATCTAACACAATCTCCTGTCACCCTGCCCACAGTCCTGAGGAGGCAAGATAAGGTACCTGCTGCGTTTTTCTCCAAAGAGAAGAGCCTATAATCTCAGCTACTAGAGCACAGTTTTTAATAAAGCACTGACTGTTCGAGATAGAATACAGGCCTTGAATACTGAACTCCTCATCTGCTCCTTCTTTATCAGCCATGTGACTTTAGGCAAGACACTTAACTTCCCCAACCTTAAATTCTCATTTGTACAATAGGATCATAACAGCTCACTGAGTGGCTATGAGAAGAACATGACATAACATATATGAAAGTGCCTTGTGGAGAGTAGTTTCTCATTAAATATTACATTGTTCTGGAAAGTTCATTCTTATACTGAGATGAGGTTTATGTTTACTACTTTCAGGAGCTACACAGAATTAGTCTTATCTCTTTGTAACCTGTAACTGCCCTTTGAGGACCAGAAGACAAGGATAACTAAGGCAAGATGTTTTTTCAAATGTCAGCTATCATACTGCTTCTCACCAGATGGTTACAGTAATGACTTAGAAAAGATCAATGGTAACCTTCATTAGGAAAACTTATCGGGTCCCCAATCCAGTAAAGATTTACTAAGTGAATATAATGTGCCAGAAACTATGCTAGGGGCTAGAGACACAGTGCTTTTCCCTAGAAGTTTATAATCTGCTTGAGAAACAGATGTATGCTAATGATTGCACTATACAGCTATATGCTAATAATGAAGTTATATATAAATTGCTAAATGAGTAAAAATGAAAACCACACAAGAGGCATCTGGGGTGGGTTCTCCACACATGGAAATTTTCTCTGAGAGAGAGAGAGAGCGCGCGCACAAGCAGGGGAGGTGGCAGGCAGAGGGAGAAGCAGGCTCCCAGCCGAGCAAGGAGACTAATGCGGGACTCAATCCCAGGACCCTGGGACCATGACCTGAGCCGAAGGCAGACGCTTAACCAAGGCCACCCAGGCATCCCTTAAAACTCAGTCTTGAGAACATTCATTCATTCATTCACTCGTTCAGCAAACATTTATTAAAGACCTTCTATGTACCAGATATTATACTAGGCACTAGGAATATAAAGGTGAATGTCAAGTGAGGGATCCATACTCTCAAGGAGTTTAGAAGCTACTTTATGATCATTCCAGTTCAATGGGATAATTATTTTAAAGATCAACTTCAACCTTCCCACTTGCCACATGAATGAATAACTATTTTGGGGGGTTATAGGATCTCAGGCTTTCTAAGTTGGATACCATTTCGTATACCCACCTCATCTAAAGTCCTATAAACACATTTTTTAATTTTCTTTTAAGTTTGGGTGTTTTCTGCTCCCATGCTCCAAAGCTAAGCATGTTGTGTGAATAATCTTCAGGATTTCAAACAGTTAGGACCAATGGCCAATGTCTGGGAATATGCCAGACACAGCAAAACTATGTTTAGAAGGGCTAGAAGTAAAAAAAATAAATTCAAGTTGGGTCAGGAAACAAAGATGAGGTCAAAAGAGCACACCTGAGAGGCAGAGCTACTGCGGCGAGCCACAGAGGTGAGGGGACTGTGTCTCCTCCTCACACCAGCTCCCAACATTGTTTGCTACGTACAGTGTTCAGCTACTGAAGCTTTCACTGTAACAGTGTAGAAGGCTTGCAAAATGCTAGGCGAAATGGGGAAAATCCTTGTTCTTGGCTATTAACTTCCATAAGTGTTTCCAGGAGTAACAGATACAAATCAAGAGGGAAAGGTAGAGCACATAATCCAAACTCTTAATGACAGTAATTCAACCTGGGGAAAAGGGTGTACTCATGACAGTACAGTTGACCCTTGAACAATGCGGGGTTAGGAGCACTGATTCCCATGCAGTTGAAAATCTGCGTCTAACATTTGACTACCCCAAAAACCTGACTACCATTAAATAGGCTGTGGCTGACCAGAAGCCTCACCAATAACATAAATAGTTGATTAACCCATGTTTCATATGTTGTATGTATTATATACTGTACTCTTATAATAAAGTAACCCAGAGAAAAAATATTAAGAAAATCATAAGGAAGACAAAATACATTTATAGTACTACACTCTTATTATCAGAAAAATCCACATACGGGTGGGCCCATGCAGTTGAAACCCGAGGTGTTCAAGAGTCAGCCATCTTTCCTTTGTGCGTGTGGGTCCACTCAGGAAGCAGTCACGTGTGCAAGAGTTGTACGAACGTGACAAAATTCCCAATGCTGCACTCCACAGATAAATTCAAACGAGGACGGCAAACATGGCTGTCGGTTACCTGAAGGCAACACTGGTGTGGCAGGAAGAGGCCGCCATGCCTGAACTCCGGCCATAGTGACTGTTAGTGCCTGGAGCAGCACCAGGTGAGTGTGGGCCCCAAACAGTGAAGGCTCCCTTTCTCCTTGAAGCTCTTGAACCCTGTCTGCTCCTGAAAGGACACACGTACTCTTCCACGTGGCCACTGTCGCATTATCCATGGTAGTCAGTGGAAAGGGGAGTAAATTAACTCAACAGAATACTTTCCAAATCAATTGTTTTAATGCCTTTTCTCCCCTGGACTTGAACCTTTCAAGAAATGTTTATTTGTATTCATCCACTTTCATTCTAGATTCACTAGAGTGTACACCTAGAGACAAAGGACACGTGTGTCTTGTTCACACAGTGGGAGAATTCAATCCATCTGAGTGGAAAGGTGAATTAATGTATGGAGAGAAGGCAACAGCTCTTTCTGAAATGTGACTGTGAAGCCGGACAAGCACTTTGCCTGACTCATACGATACTCATGGTGCAGTGGGGCCGAGGATCCAGGTTTTCCACACCCTGTGCCTGATGGTTACGGCGACGCCATCTAACCAGACCTACATTAATCCAAACCTGAGACAACTCCACGTAAGCCCAGGTGGAACACCACAGACACTGTCTGTTATGTTCAAGAGACTCCGCATTTGTGGAAGAGCTTGAGACAGTATTATTGTCAGTTTGATAGGACTATTAGGACATAGGAACATGTCAAACTGTGAGAAAAACGAGAAGAGATAGAGGTCACATCCTTCCCCAGCTGAATAGCAAAATGGTGAAAGTACTGTGGGATTGATTTGTTAAATTCACTGAGTTCTCAGGATCCATTCTCTTCCAGTCATAGAGAGATAGAAGCTAACCATCTTGGCCCCTCCAGAAGTCCCAGTGTAGGTGGGAGAGAGACATGTGACTCCAGCAATAATGCTCAATACGGCAGCTCCTACCACCTCTGACTTTCCCTAGGGATAGCTGACCTAGGTTTACAAGGACAAACAGGAAGTATGAGATTCCAAGCTGAGAGAGCAGCACGAACAAAGGTCTGGAAGTCCGAGAGGACACAGCACACCCAGGGAATGACACAAAGTTCACTACGTCCAGGACAAAGACTTTCATCTTTCCAGTGGCTGATGAAGCTGAAGATGTTGTCTGTGGCCCAGAGAATGAATGCAGCCTTCCAGACACTATGCAGAGAGGCACCAAGCACCCAGCAAGAGATCTCCCTGACATAGACATGAAAACCCATCCGTTCTTGTACTTCAGCCCCATCACCCATCACAGCTTCTCTTTGACAATGGTTCATGTACTGTTTCTTTCAGGCTTTCAATCACTAACATGAAACATCTATCCACCACTTATTTTCTTTATTTATGTTAAACTTGGAAGTCACAGGAAGAATCCCAGGGGGCTTGTACTCTTGTTGAAGAACTCCTCTGCCCTTCCCCTCTACCCAGTTTCCATGGATATATTTTCTTTCTCTTACGTTCAGTAACTCTATGAACCGTATCAAAGAATTATTGAATGGTAAATGGAAACACTGACTGATTTGCATTAATATAAAAAATTGGGAACTTTCGTTTTTCTTCACTGAAAAAACTTTCAACTAAGAATCCATATTCAACAACAGTGCTTAAGAGGAAATACTTCAGGGTAAAAAACAACTTGGTATATGTAGGTGATTCTTTTTTAAATGACTGCATTACTCAGAGACAACCTGGAGTGGGACATGAATGAATGTTACATTAAAACCTGTAAGAGTTTGATAACATGTCTCCTTGATCCTGGGCTCGAACCTCCCCACCACCCAACTTCACCTTCCCTATCATAGATGTAAGCTACTTGACAAAAGAGGCTATTTCTTTCTCATTTTTTATACTTCTAGTATCATATCTTATTTAGCACTCAATAAATGTTTGCTGAACTAAGGTAGAATATTTGAGAACTATAGCAAGTAAGGGTGGGTTACAACATCCAATGCTATGAGTGGACTGGCTCAATTAGATCAGCACAGTTGCTGTGTGACCCCTTAACTTACATAATCTCCATAGGTCTCTTGTGTTGGGGGTGGTGGCGGAGGTCTGTACCCAGTTGGGGGAACTCCTCTTGCTCTGGGAGTGAGAAGTCCTCTTCCCCGACTCACTGGTCCTCGGGTGGAAAGGACTCCCCTGGAAGCTGGAGTCCCTCGTGGTACACCAACTCCAACTGGCCTGGCTGTGACTCCTCCCCTTCCCCTGCAAGCAAGAGGGGCAAGTTAGCAATAGTTGTCATATTCTCTACCACTGCATGGTCCACATGCTTTTATACCTCAGGAAAATCAACGTTCCATATCACTGTAAAAAGAAAAAAGGAAATCATATGCAAAGTGAAAACTAAAGCAAACGAGAAACAACTACATACCAAAAGGAAGTTAAGTCATTTAAGCAGCTTATCCAGCAGTGATAAATATTATAACATCAAAGAAACCCCAAGACTCAATTTCTGGCTAAGATACAGAGTAGGAAGCTTTGACATTGGGAAGGCTGCATCTACTGAGGATTTCTCTGTGATGCCAGGCCAGGGTCACATCCAACCTTCATGCCTACACTATGAGGTGGGCTATATTCTGCTTGTCTATGGACAAGGAAACTGAGGCTAGAGAGATCTTCAAACTGAGAACACACCGCCAGCAAAGACCAAAGTATACATCAGAGTTCCATGAAAGAGAAAATAAAGTGTACCTTCCCAAATAATGTACTGAACACATAGTAATTTAAAATACCATTCTTAAGTTAAATAAACACAGGTATTTTCTGAAGTAGAACTCAACATATTTATGTATTTCTAACATAAAATACAAGATTTCAAGTCAGAGAGGAAGGAAGAAGGAAACTGTATAAAGAATAGCTCAACATAAGCAAAATCTTGAGAAAACGTGCAAGGCCTATGAAGAAATGAAGACAGAAAAAGGAGGCTACACCACAGAATAAAAATTTGGCCTGATCCACCTCCCAGAGACCACGTCCCCCAAATAAGGAGAACTGTCACAGATAATGTGGCTGTCTACGTATCTCCTATCTCCTTCTTTAGTTTGATTGGGATAACAAATACATAGCTAAAAACTTAACAGAGAAAACTAACAAAACCAAAAGTTGTTTCTTTGAAAGGATCAATAAAATTGATAAACCTCTAGATATGCTAAACACAAAAAATAAACATATCAGAAATGAAATTGAGGTCATCACTACTGACCTGAAGGGCATTAAAGCGTAGTAAAGGAAGATTATGGACAACTCTAGGCCCACAAATTTGTTAACTTAGATGAACTGTACTAATTCCTTGAAATATACAAATGACCAAATCCCACAAATGGGGAATTAAGTAATCTGAAAAAAGTTATGTCTATTAAAGAACTTCAATGAAAAAGTAATAACCTTTCAAAAAAGAAAGCACCAGGGTACCTGGGTGGCTCAGTCAGTTAAGTATTCGACTCTTGATTCTGGCTCAGGGTTATGATCTCAGGGTTTTGAGATCAAGCTCCACGTCAGGCTCTGCACTGGGTGTGGAGCCTGCTTAAGGTTCTCCCTCTCGCTCTGCCCCTCCCCATCCCTCTATTTAAACAAAACAAAACAAAAAGCACCAAGCCCAGATGGTTTCACTGCTGAATTCTTTCATATATTAGTCTAGGGGAGATGCCAAAGGACTGGCCTAGCTGATATCTGACCACCCCACGAAGAGACATGTCATCCAAAGGGGAAAAAGGATGAGACCTCCTAATAACCAAAGCCATTAAAGACATTATGAAATGAAAAAAACAAAAACTATAAATCCGTATCTTTTCAAGAACAAAGGTGCACAGTTCCTCAAAAATAGTAGCAAATTAAATCCAACAATATATTAAAAAGTTATATACCATGACCAAGTGGGATTTATTCTAGGTATGTAAGGCTGATTCAACACTAGCATATCAATGTGATCTACCATATCAACAAGGCTTAAAAAAAAACATAAAATCATAAAGAGCAGAAAAAGCATCTAACAAAATGCAACATCATTCATGATAAAAATTCTCAGCAAAGTAGGAATAGAGGAAAATTTCCTTAAGTTGAAACAAAAATCTACAAAAACCTGTAACTGCTATCATATTGAATGGTGAGGGAAACTGAATGCTTTTCCCTTATGATTGGGAATAGGCAAGGATGGCCACTCTTACTATTCCTACTCAAATTTTACTGGAAGTCCTAATTCAGTAAGAAAAGGGAGTAAGATTGTGTAAGACTGTGGAAGAAGAAATAAAATTTTATTTACGTGACATCATTTCTATATAAAAATTCCCAATCATGACAAAATAAAACAAAGCAGGCAAACAAGCAAACAAAAAATCCTAGAGCTTACTGCACAAAGACAAGGTCTCAGAATACAAAGTTAATAACTCAATAATATATACCATATACCAGCAATGAACAACTAAAATTTAAAATTAAAACATAATTTAACAGTATTTGTTTGGGCAAGATATATACTAAAATTGGAACAATACAGAGAAGATTAGTATAATCCCTGTTCAAGTATGACATACCAATTTATGAAGTGTTTCATATTTTCCTATGCATGTGTGGGGGCAAGGCGCCTCTGGGAAAACTCTGTACCTTCCTCTCAATTTTGCTATGGACCTAAAATTGCTCTAAAAAATTAGTCTTTAGGGGCGCCTGGGTGGCTCAGTCGTTAAGCGTCTGCCTTCGGCTCAGGTCATGATCCCAGGGTCCTGGGATCGAGCCCCCAATCAGGCCCCCCGCTCAGCGGGAAGCCTGCTTCTCCCTCTCCCACTCCCCCTGCTTGTGTTCCCTCTCTCGCTGTGTCTCTCTGTCAAATAAATAAATAAAATCTTTAAAAAAAAAATAGTCTTTAAAAAAAAACATAATAAAATTTTTTTTAAAAAAATACAAAATAATAACATCTATTAAAGCAACAAAAGAAATGAAATGTTTTGGTACAAATCTAACAAAATATGTACAACTATTCTCTGTAGAAAACCATAAAACTCTAATGAAATAAATCAAAGGAGAAATATCTCATGCTTAATGATTGTTGCAGTCAATACTGTTCAGTTGCCAATTCTTCCCATCTTGACATTTTATACTCAATATAATCCCAATCAAAATCCCCGAGAGCTACTTTGTAGACTGACAAACATATTCTGGAGAATATAAAGAAAGGCACAGAAGACCCAGAACAGATAACACAATACTGAAGAAGAAAATTTTGGATGTCTCACAGTATCTGATTTCAAGACTTATTATAAAGCTACAATAATCAAGGTAGTAAGTACTGATGGAAAAAATAAATACACAGAACAGTGAAACAAAAGAAACAGACCTGAAAGTGATCCACACAACTGTAGTCAAGTGACTACTGACAAAGGAGCAAAGACAATTCAGTGAAAAAGTTTTTTAAACAAATAATGCCCGAACAAATGGATATTCATATGCCACACACAAAAAAAAGAGAGAAAAGAACTAGACACATCTTTCACAAAAATGAACTCAAGATGGATTTTAGTCCTAACATAAAATATAAAACTTATAGAAGAAAATTCAGAAGAAATCAAGAAATCAGGGTGACTTGGGTTTGATGATGAGTTTGTAGATACAATATGAAAAGCATAATCCATGAAATAAAAATTGGTAAGCTGAACTTTCTTAAAATTAAGACTTTCTCCTCTGAAAAGGACACTGTTAAGAGAGGAAGAGACAAATCACAAAAAAGGAAAGAGTATCTGTAAAACATGTATCTGGTAAAAAACACTTGTGTCCAAAATATACAAAGAACTTTTAAAACTCAACAATAAGAAAATCCAATTAAAAAATAGGCAGAAGAAGTTATAAAGATGGCAAATAACCAAAAGGAAAAAAAATGTTCTATATCATTTGTCATTAGGGAATTGCAAATTAAAACATATCTATTAGAATAACTAAAATCAAAAGAAACAATATACCAATTGATGGTGAGGATGTGAAGGACAAGGTGCTCTCTCATTTATTGCCAGTGGGCATGCAAAAGAGTACAGTTACTTAGGACAGTTTGGCACTTTCTTACAAAGCTAAACATGGTATTACCATACAACCCAGCAACTGTATTCCTATGTATTTACCCACCTGATTTGAAAACTTGCTTCCACACAAAAACCTGCACATGAATGTTTACTGGAGTTTAATGCACAGTGGCTAAAACAACCAAGATGCCCTATAAGGGGTGAATGGATAAGCAAGCTGGGGTGTACACATACAAAGGAATATTATTTGGCCATGAAAAGAAATGACCTCACAAACCAGGAAAAGCTATGGATGAACCTAAAATGTATGTTTCTAAGTGGATGAAGCCAATCTCAAAAGGCTATGTACTATATGACTCCAATTATAGGACATACTGGAAAAGAAAAAAAAAACAACAACTAGTGATGAGTTTAAAAAAAAAAGAACCAGTGGTAAGCACAGATTGAGGGGAGAAGGGAAGGTTGGACAGGTGAAGCCGTAGAACACTTTACGGGGCCGAAACTATTCCACAGGATGCTGAAATGGTGGATATGTGACACAAATCATTTGTTAACACCCACAGAACTCTATAGCACAAAGAGTGAACTTTAATGTATATAAACTAAATATATATATATATTATTTAGGAAATTAAAGGCTTCGAAGAATGCTAAATGTGACAAAATATTTTAACTGCATTAAAAACATATAAAACACCTTTATGAGTTGAGGAGTAAAATAAATTTAGAGGGGCGCCTGAGTGGTTCAGTCATTAACCGTCTGCCTTCAGCTCAGGTCATGATCCCAGGGTCCTGGGATTGAGCCCCGCATCGGGCTCCCTGCTCAGCAGGAAGCCTGCTTCTCCCTCTCCAGCTCCCCCTGCTTGTGTTCCCTCTCTCGCTGTGCCTCTCTGTCAAATAAATAAAATTTTTAAAATAAAATAAATTTAGAAATGAGTGAAGCTTGTAAGACTAAAGGCAAAAGAACTGTGCATAAGCACTGCTCTAGGTGATAGGCTTATTTCCCATGAAGAGGGGTGCAGGGATAGGTAATGATTCTGATACACTCTACACATACACTGGACTTGAGCAATTAAATGGATGGTGGATGACGGAAGACACACTTCTTGTGTTGGAGTGAAGGTTACAGATAAGCAAGGGGAAGAGGCTAGAATGAACACTATGGTAATGGACTGGAATCAGAGACATCAGTATCAACTCTTG